CTTGATTAGCTTGTCATAAGTATATATGTATGAATGTACGCTATGTATAATATGTTGCATGTATGTTCTTCAGGTTAATTACTACAGTATGTATTGGCGGTAAAAAGTGATTCTGCATGCAGTTTCGTGCTTCAAGTCGAAGAAGCACATATGATCCAGAAGTTGATGGTTGCATCTCAATTTGGTTTATTACAACAGTGTATATAAATATTATGCATCATTATATTGAAAATCTACAAACCAAAGGACAAAATCCAGTTGTATGATGGAAGAGATATTGAAAGTGAAAAATTGGGGATGGAAAAGTGTCTCTCCAACTTTTTTAAAGAAATAAAATATACTCCCTCCGTTCCATATATTTTGGGCCTACTATAGACACGAGAATTTAGGTAAAATATAATATGTAAGTAATTAAGAAGTATATTAATAAAAATAATTATTATTTAATAAAATTAATTATAGATTAAAATTAAAATAAGTAAATTAGGTGGAACAGAGAGAGTATTATATTAAAAAGTAGGTTGTTTTTATTTAAAGTTAGTGTACTTTTGTTTTCACCATACGTGAATTCATAAAAGTAGCCTAGCCACATCATAATTTAGAGGCTCTTTACATTTGGACATTGTGGTTGCTCTAAAGACCTCTTTGATTTTCATTATTCTTCACTCATTCTTTCATGGCATGCTTGATGATCAATTTAGAGTTTTCTTTCCCAATCCTTCCTCTTCCTCTTGATGGCCGAAACAAACATTTCCTTTCTTCCTTCAAAGAAATTAGTGCCGTGCTGTTGGTCAGTCCATTCCTTTTAACCATGGCCGCATTATGTATGGTTGTGCATATGAGGGGATTCGAGGCTGGGGGTTTGGATGATGGGATTGGATAAAAACAGCCAACACCTTACTTGTCTAAAAAGTATTGTGAACTTAAATAGGCAGGTTGGGGAACAATGGGTAAAACATGGAATCAGCACGGTCATCCTCCTCTCAACCTAGCTAGCTAAAATTTCCACATCCGCAATTTCTTCTGACTATTGGGACATGGCTTTAGAGGTTTTTAGTTTTTTCCAACGGTTCGATAGGCCTGATGCTACTAGGCATCTCATGGGAATAATTGCTTCACTCTTTGTGGTTGGGGAATCAAGATCCCGTCCAAGTCATTTGGACATTCCCTTTTAAAATTCCAACTAGTGAGGAATCCAATCCTTGGTCGGAATCAATTTGTGGCTACACGAACCACATAATTCAACATATCTTACCCGGGAAGAACACAAAGCACTAATGATGTAAACCGTGTGAGTTCGTATATTTTTTCCAACTTAAAGAAGAATAACCTTAATCGATGTAAAGAATTGGAGAAAGAAAATAGATGAGATAGAGCAGAAATTTGATACCCAATCTAGTTAATTAAGAACCTCATGAATTTAATCTTGAACCCAAAATTCGAACTATAGAAAATGAACAAATCGATAGGCGTAATTCCTCTGAGAGAATTTAGAAGTCACAAACCAATGGATAATTCCAAAGACCCGATTTGAAATCACTGTGCAAGGAATCACTCGCTTATACTTTGAAAGTAAACACAATGAAAAACACAATTTTTCAAAGGAAGGAAAATATATTATGACAAAAGTTGATATGAAAATAGATACAAAAGCCTATATATATGACAAATGGAGGACGATAAAACACTTATTACAATTATTGACGACACATTCTCATAAAGAACATATTCCAATACACATAATTGCAACATGTTCCCCAAAAAATATTACCAATATCACAATAATGACAACACATTCTCAAAAAAATATATTTCCAATATTATAATTAATGGTAGTACATTTTAAAAAAGTGATGTAAACAATGACATCATCACATGTCTTCATTCATTTTTAGCTTGTTTAACCGTTAGGCTTGTGCCGATGGATCTCCATGTTTCATCCTTGTTTATATTTTTCATCTTGAGCCTCAGATTAAGCCGAAAAACATTGATCTTCGAGTTTACAAGCACTGCTTTGGGTAATTGGTCCAAGTGGTTGGAGTTGTATTTTTGGTATTTTGATGTCCATTTCATTCCCCCATTCTTGAATAGATTTTTTGTTCTCCAGAACAACATCATCATCTCCTACATCATACAAAGTTAAATCAGCAACATTAAAGGTATCATGGACTTGGTACTGACCCGGGAGTTCGATTCAGTAAGCATTGTCATTCACTTTCTCTAAACCACGGAAGAGACCACCACCACATGGGGTTAACTTTGATTTTCTCATCTCGGGCAAGTGTTCCTTACACAAATGCAACCAAATCCAATCACCCAGATAGAATTGAACCTTTTTACGACCCTTGTTTGCTTGCTTTGTGTATTTCTCAATCGTCTTTTGGAGTCTTGTGCGGACTTCATCGTACAATTGCCGCACAAATTTTGCTTTCTTCCTACCATCAATATTGGTTTGCTCATTGCGAGGCAATGGCATAGATCAAGAGGTGTTAGTGGGTTAAAGTCATACATAATTTCAAACGGTTAACAACTTGTAGCCCTATGAATCACTACAAAAAAAAATCAGCTTTTGCTATGGAATATTTTCGTTGCAATTATAATTTTGGGTGTAATAAATACTAATCAACTATGGAAACTCTGACACATTTTATTTTATCACAGAATTTTAATTGTAACGCAAACATTGCATCATAAATTGATCTACTACGACTATTTGCTACAATATTTAATAGCAAAGATTTGCGACATAAAATTGTGATGGAATCCGTGGCAAAGTTTTTTCCTATAAATATTTTATAACGGTATTCTATAGAAAATATTGCTACATGATTTTGTCACAAATTGCTATGGTGGTATTTGTAGCAAATTTCGTAGCAAATTTCTAGGATAATATTTGTAGCAAATTTCCGTAGACAAGTTATTTCCACCTAATTTTTTTCTTTGCAAAATCTAACTATTATTAAATGTCAACATTGAAATACATGTCATCCTAAAAAATTATAATACCTAAACAATAAACAAACTTGTAACAATAAAAAAAATGCATGCATTAACATTGATTGAATGTTGAATTATCACCGAAAATATTTACGATATAACAAAACTAGATAAAGTATATTCCCAAAAATATGAAATAAGTCCAACAATCAACAATATACGGAAAATCAAAAGAAATATCATCGAAAATGAGTAAGAAATCACGATACCGGAGCTCCACCACAATCAGAATTGGGGTCACATCAGTAGAAGTCAGCTCCCCTCATCCGCTTAAGCTCTTGCATTATAGTCAGATTCTGACTTATTATGGTTTGATATTGAACATCCAAGTTAGTCACACGATGGTCCACATGAGACACGTGACCGCGGATCTTCCCAACATTGTCCTCTACCTTCTTTAATTGACCATCATTGGCGAATGACCTTGTAGCGTCCCCGTCGCTAGTGCTAAAAGATAACTATATATGAGGGATTGTCGAAGCCAATGACCCCAATCCGAAAATGCAATTTTTCTTATCTTGTGGTACTAGCTTGAGAAACAATTCTTCTTGATCGCACTTTGTTTCCTCTTGAGTCAAATCATATTCCATGGCTTCAAGGTCCTCATAATATGAGTTCAAGTAAGACACCAAAATATTAGTTTCGAAAAATATTACTTGAATGAACTATCAAATTTTAGTCTATTGATTTCATAATAACTTACAGCAACTTGTCTTGATCGTGAGTTTATGTAATTCTTCTGATTGTGTTCCTTGGTGTGGGTCCATTATATGTTCCAACCTTATTGAACTCCTATTTAGAAAGACAAACAATATATCAATCATTAAGTTTGACGAATGCTAATCAAATCAAATAAGTAAATGATTATATACCAACTTTTCTGATGTCTCCACAAAAGATCAAGACCCCCCAGTATGTGTCGACTCGGCAGGTGCATATGCATTACCTCTACTCTTATTCTTTTTGGCAATCCCATACTTTTCCTTTGCTTTATCAGAACTCCATAATCTATGCCACTCAGCCAAGACCATCTGATCGACTTGCTCATCTCCTTTCCTCCCCCGGTTCGCTCGAATATCATATATCCACTGAGTATATGCACCCGATGGCTTCAACGCATACTAATGCTTACTTTTCCTTTCAGCAAAGAGTCCCAAGTGACAAACTTCTGCATTGCAATGTCATATGCACATAGATTAATATTAAGAGTTCATCAAACAAGAACAATGTAATTTATTCAGAAACCTTCTATGTGAATTAAAGTACTACGTAAATTAACAATCCTTTGCATTATTTGCATGCGAGACACAATCTTTTGAAGAAATTTATCATTCTTTATATGAAATTTATAACTCATCTAATGTTGCGTTATTTGCATGCGAGCCACAATCTTTTGAAGAAGCTATGAAAGAAGAAGTGTGGAAAAATGCGATGGACAATGAAATGAAAAGTATAAAAAAGAATCAAACATGGAAGTTGGTGGATCTCCCCGAAGGAAAAGAAGCGATTGGATTGAAATGGGTCTTCAGGACCAAGTTCAATGAAGATGGAACTATGCAAAAGTACAAGGCACGACTTGTGGCAAAGGGATACGCACAACAGCCTGGAGTGGATTTTACGGAGACATTTGCACCCATGGCTAGAATGGAAACAATAAGTGTTGTTCTTGCAATTTCAGCACAATTGGAGTTGAAAGTGTTCCAACTTGACATAAAAACTGCAAGCGAAAGGCAAAGAGGAAAAAGTGTACAAGTTGCACAAAGCACTGTATGGGCTGAAGCAAGCGCCGAGATGCTGGAACAATACGATTGATGCATGTTTCTGGCAAAATGGATTTTTGAAAAGTCCTTCTGAACCATCTCTCTATGTGAAGAAAAGTGAGAATAATTTTTTGATGGTTTGCATATATATCGATGATCTAATCTATGCAGGACAAATGATGCAATGGTGAAATGGTTCAAAGAAGCGATGATGAGAAAGTTTGAAATGACCGATCTCGGATAATGAAGTATTTTCTCGGGATTCAAGTAAAGCAAGAAATTGGAAGTATCTTCATTTCTCAGGACAAGTATGCCGCAAACATGCTAAAGAAGTTTAGAATGGAGAATTGCAAGCCTGCTGCAACACCGATTGCCCTGATCGAAAGATTAAAGTTTGATGATGGTGCAGAAAAATTCGACCCAAGCATTTATCGGAGCCTTGTCGGATCGCTCATCTACCTAACACACTCAAGGCCGGATATCTTACATGTTGTAAGTCTGATTTCCAGATTTATGAGCAATCCAAGCAGGTCACATTTTGCGGCTGAAAAAATGATTCTCTGTTACATTCAAGGGACCAAACATCTTGGCATCAAATATTCGAGAGAGAAGAATAATGAGTTGATTGGATTCACGGACAGTGATTGGACTGGAAGCCAAGACGACAGGAAGAGCACATCGGGATACATTTTTTGCTTGGGATCAAAAGCAATTTCGTGGAGTTCGAAGAAGCAAAATTCAGTTGCTATGTCATCCGCGGAGGAGTAGATTGCTGTGAATAAAGTGGTTGGAGAAGCAGTTTGGCTCAAAAGAATTTTGAAGGATTTGTTAGAGAGAGTTGATGGACCCACTCCAATTTTCTGTGATAATATGGCAGCAATTTCTATGACAAAGAATTCAGTGTTTCATGAAAGAACAAAACACATCAAAATGAGACATCACTTTATCCATACAAAGGTGCAAGAAAAAGAAATCTTTTATGGAGCATGTTACGACCACAACATAGCTTGCCGATGCACTCACAAAGGCAGCCACCAAAGAGAAGCTTCAACGGTCCAATAAAGATATTGGAATAACAAATTAAGAGGGGGTGTTAAATATAATTTGTAATTCCAAAATAAAAAGAATAAGAATTCAAACACACCAATTCTCAAGGCAGGGAAGATTCAAGAACTGACTTTTACTATTCTCAATGTATTAATTAATTTTACCTACTACAAATAATCTTCCTATAATCATCCGTACTCTGTGTTTGGTGCTTTGTATTTGACTGCGCAATGGGAAATAGTCCTTGGAACACCATTATCTTATGATAATTGGAAATGCTATTTTAACAAAACTATTCATTAGTTGTCTAATAATGATTGATGATTCTCTATTACCTTTGCTGTAGGTTTTGATTAGTTGTAGAGTAAAGCAATAGAATAGTAGGTTTTGATGTATTATATTGTTAATTTATTTCTATTGGAACTTTAATATATAACTATTGAATTTCCCACTTAAATTGGTAATAAGTTAGTTAATAGCTTAAAATTGTACAAAAAGCTGGATATTGAACCTATGGGATTGTTAGATGATTGAATTTAACATATTTGAATGCAGTTTTTTCTTAATGAGTGTTTGGATGAATTTATGTGAAAGTTCTATATTTTTTTTATTTTGTGTTTTGAGAAGTCAAATAATTCACATAATAAATTTCTATATTCATTATGAAATGCCTTAATTCTTTTGTGCATTTATGATAAAAGAAGGGAATTTTAGTATTGTTTTACTGCAAGTATACTTGAATGAGAAGTTATCTTCTTATTCTCTAATTCTTTTGCTCAATTTAGGGTGTCTTTTTGTAGATTGCACTTGATTTCCCAGAGTGGAAGGTAAGTTCTACCGGTTGACCAGATTTTCAATTCTCAAATCACTCCTCAAAATTGACTGCAATGTGGCTTAATTTCTATTTATTTTTCTTGCAGTTAATTCTTTGATTTCATTCAATAGAGTTTTTATCGAATATCCGACAATGGTGTTGTCTGATTGGGAGCCTATCGATCCAGAGCTTTGTGGATGGTCAGGCATTGGTTGTTCTGTAAATGGAGGTTATGTTGTAAAGATGTAAGATTATATGTTGATTATGTTGGTTTAGTTTTTGAGAGAGAATAAGGTAGAATTGTGAAAGCAACAAAAGATTTTTCTGTTATTGACTAAAAAATTTAAAGTACATTACGTTGAGATCAAAAATAGAAAAGAAATTCAACATAGCTAAAAATGACTCTTAACAAACTCCAAAAGACTTGGTAAAAGAGATCAAATTAAACTAAATAACTAATTCAAAAATTATTCATAAGACTGCTGCTGATGCACACTTAGTCAAACACTCTCCTTGCATCAGTAGGTGCAAACTCCCATTTTCTCCCTTTTAAGTCTTAAAATCTGCTTTTTGCAAGAGGCTTAGTAAATATGTCTGTCAATTGATGTTCAGTCTTGCAGTACTTGAGTTTCACTACACCATCCTTTTGAACATCTCTGATGAAGGAAAGTTTAATGCTGAAATGTTTGGTCTTTCCATGAAAAACAGGATTATTTGAGATTTCTATTGCTGCCTCATTGTCCACAATAACTTCAGTGCTCTTTTCTTGTGCTAAACTCAGACCATTTAGAAATTTTCGCAGCCAAAGAGTATGATTAGCTTTTGATGTAGCAGCTATAAATTCTGCTTCAGCAGTTGATTGTGCCACGATATCTTGTTTCTTTGAACTCCAAGTAAATATTCCTGATCCAAAATCCAGAGGTTCTTTTCTTGTCATCAAAAGATCCACCCCAATCACTATCAGAGTAACCTTGTAGCTGGAAATTTGTTGAACAAAATTGAACCCAAAACTTAAGGTTTCTATAACATACCGAAGAACTCTTCTCACAGCAATGAGATGAGTCTCGTTAGCACAATTCATGAATCTAAAAAGCACACTTACAACTAACAATATATCCGGTCTTGTTGCTGTAAGATACATTAGACATCCAACCAAACTTCTGTAGTATGACTCCTCCACCTTTCTGGTGCTATCATTCTTGCTAAGCTTCCCCTTTTGACACATCGGTGTAGTCACACTTTGACAAATGAAAACCTCACCAGGCCTTTGCTTAATTTCCATTCCAAGAAAGTAAAGACATTTCTCCAAGATCAGTCATCTCAAAAATCTGCTTCATATCTTTCTTGAACTGCAAAACAAGCTGAGTGTTGTTGCTTGTGATCAAAAGTTCATCAACATAGAGTGAGATCTCAATAAAGTCAGTAGTGTCACCTTTAATATATAAAGTGGACTCGTTGAGGATTTTTGCAAAGCCCAAGTTTAGTAAGTATTCATCTATCATGTTGAACCATGCCCTTGGATCCTGTTTTAAGCCATATAATGCCTTCTTAAAAAATACACATTTTGTTCATGGCCATTCACTGCAAAACCTTCAGGCTGCTCGACATAAATTTTTGTTCCAAAAGTCCATCAAAGAAAGCTGACTTTACATCAAGATGATAGATTTTCTATTTTTTTTGTGCAGCAATAGCTAGAAGCAGTCTAATAGTATTCAATCTTGCCACAGGGGCAAATGTATCAATGAAGTCTACTCCAGGGACTTGAACGTACCCTTTAAAAACTAGCCTTGCTTTATATTTGTTCACAGAACCATCAGCATTAATCTTCCTTCTAAATACCCATTTAACTCCAATTACCTTTTGATGTGGAGGTCTTTCAACTAGCGCCTATGTTTATTTTTCTCAATCATATAAAACTCTTCTTTCATTGTAGCCATCCAATTTGGGTCTTCCTCAACTTCCCAATATCCAGAAGGTTCAAGAACAACAATGTTGCATCTTTGGTATATATCAGCAAGTGATCTGGTGCCACGTACCGATGGATCATCAATTAACTCATCTGGATTCAGCTCATTAAGCTATTGATTCTCTACATTGTTGAAATCCCATTTGTCATTTTCCATGAAATTTACATCCCTGATTACTAGAATATTTCCTGAGTCAGGCTGAAAAACTCTATAAGCTTTTAGATGTTAAGCAATATCCAATGAATACTCTTGGCTTGGCTCTTTTGTCCAATTTTTCTCTCTGCAACTGTGGGACATCAGTAAAGCATAAACAGCCAAATACTTTCAGATGTTTCAGTTGTGCCATATAACCATACCATACCTCAAAAGGAGTTTTTCCATTTACAGCTTTTGTAGAAAGTCTGTTAAGCAGAAATACAGCTGTATGTGCTGCCATTGCCTAATATTCCTTTGAAAGATCCTTTTCATGAAGCGTACATCTGATCATGTTCATTATTGTTCTGTTCTTTTGCTCGCTGACCCCATTCTGCTGTGGAGTGTACGGGGTTGTTAGTTGATGCTCTATTCCAGCTTCTTCACAAAATTTACGAAACTCATTTGAGGTATACTCTTTGCCATTATCGGATCTCAACACTTCGATTTTACAACCACTTTGATTCTCTATCCAATTCTTGAATTTGAAAAACACACCTGCAACTTCTGATTTGAGCTTGAGAAAATATAACCAACACATTCTCGAAAAATCATCAATGAAGATCACATAATATTTACTTCCGCCAACTGAAGGGATTTTGTGAGGACCAAGTACATGTGTATGAATTAATTGTAGGTTTGCAGTAGATCTCCAATGTCCCTTTTCAAAAGAAAGTCTTGCTTGTTTACCAAGTTGACAAACTTTGCATTTGGTAAATCTGGCTCAATATGATCGGCAAGCCACGAGCCAGCCCTTTCTTTTTCATTTTCAATATTGCTGCATGCTAGAAATGGCCTAACCTTTTATGCCAAGTTTCTGAGTTGGTTATTGCAGCAGTATAAACTACTTGTTCCTTCTCCATCGGGTCAAGAGAGAAGCTTTTGCATCTCATTTTAACACTTATGACATCGTTGTCATGAACATCCTTGATCATGCACTGATTTCTTTCAAATATGATTTTGAATCCCTTTTCGACTAGCTGCCCAACACTTAGTAGATTCTTATCAATTTCAGGTACAAGCAGGACATCTAAAATTAATTTTGTACTTGTGCAACTCTCTATTGCAACAGTTCATTTCCCTTTGACATCAATATAGTCACCATTCCCAATTTTTACTTTGGAAGCTTGTGTTCTATCCAACTCTTTGAATAGTTGTTCATTGTTGGTCATGTGATTAGTAAAACCGTTGTCTATGAGCCAACAACCGCTGGAGTTAGTATTGCTGCTTGTAAAGCAATATGCTACAAACAATTGTTGCTCTTCTTCTTGTTCGCTTGCAATTTTGGCATTATCATTTTTTTTGGAATTTTCTTCAGCAAATCCTTTCATGATGTCCAAGTCTTTTGCACTTCTCACACTTCACATCAGGTCTTTTCCAGCATTTGAAAGGTGGATGCCCCATCTTGCCACAATGTCTACAAGGAGGAAATTCTTTTCTCTTTTCCCTTTTGTGGCTGCTTGGTGTACAGGTTGTGTTGAAGTTCCTTTTGTAATCTTTCTTCTTTGTTCTTCTCTCCTTGATTTGTAACTTGGCCTGCAATTCTTCTTCCACAAGACCTTCACTTCTCATGACTCTCCTTTGTTTTTGAGCCTATAAAGCATTTATTAGTTCTACCAAAGAAATTCTTGATAGATCCTTGCTGCTTTCCATGGAGGATATGCTAGCATCAAATATTTCAACAACGGTTACAAGTATTTTCTGCGCAATTCTACAATCAGAAAATTCAGAGCCGAGCAAGCTTATTT